GTCAGAAGCCGTGCCTCAGCTCCCAGGCTGCAAGCGAGGCACGTGGCTTTTCAGGACAGTGTTCTTCTCTTTGCCTCGTTCCCAAGCAATCCAGAGGTTGAACACGCAGCCAGCCTCAGTGGGGAGCCTGCGTGGTTTCACTGAGCCTGAAAATTCCTGTGGGGCCACAGAAAATCAGCTTTATGAATCCGACCACATGGGAATGGAAAGGCACTGAGCAGAAGCCCTTGCACGTGCAGAAAACCATGGGAGAGCCAAATAGGAGCATGAGGGTTTGGGGTTTGTAGAGAGAATCCCAAGCCCACATGTGCACAGAGCAAGGGAAAGAGGAATGGTGTTACCTCTTCCAGCAGCCCGCAGGATGGGACAGAGGCAAGATCAGGTTCGAGAAACATCTGGATGCCAGACCTCAGCTGCAGCCTCTGAGTGATCCAGTGGATTAAAACAGGCCCAGACACATCATTATGGGGGTGTAGAATTGAGAAAAACAGTATTATTAGAGCAAACAGAGGAGGTGTTTTGCCTGGACAGGCCTGTGAGCTCCTCAGCTCTTTGTTTCCAGCAGCTTCAGCAAGCAGGTGCTTTGCAGCCCAGAGCGAATCCACGCTCCTGGACCACCAGGCTGCCCAGCCAACAGTCGTAGCAAAGCCTCCGGCTTCACTTCACAACATGCCTGAAACCCAAACACGGAACAGAAAGAAAGGCAGCTTCTGAGTGAGCCTTGCTGTGCCGGTGCAGAGCACCCCAGCCGGATTTTGGCTGACTTCAGACAGCTCTATCAGAAACACCTCCGGCTCCATTCAACCCACCGCCACACAGCACCGAAAAGCAGCCAAGATGAGATGCCCCAAAGGTGCCTGTTTTTCCCTGAGGACAACAACAGAGCTGCTTGTTCCCAGCTCACATGCAGAGGGCTGCAGAGAGGTGTGACGAAGCCTGTGTTAAATGAACAAGGGAGAGGAGATGTGCCAGGAAGAATGAGCTCATTGCAAAAGTAATTGAAAGGGCTTTTACAAAAATCAATACAAAGACCTAGCTGGATTCAGATGTGCAGTGTGTCAGAGCAAGACACCTCCTCACAGCCCATCTGTTTTCCATGTCACATCCACCAGCCCTTTTGCTATCAGCCACAGCATTTCCTTTGCACCCATCAGTGTGCATGACACTTGTCTGCACTCTAGGAAGCGTGTTCCTGTTTTAAACACAATATTTCGCTTCCCAAGGAGGACCTCCTTCCAAGGAGGGACCTCCTTTTCCCCAGGCAGGTCCCTCCAACAAAGCGCTCTTCTCTCTTCATTAGCAATTTGTCCTCAGATATTTTCCCAGGGCTCATTTTTGGCACTTGGTGCCACCTACCAGAGCCTGCACCAGGAGGCCTTGGCTGTATCCTACAGCATGAACGGACTCCACAAGCAGCCAAAGAAAAGGGCTCTGGGCACAGAGGAACAGGGAGGCCAAGATGACGCAGAAAAGAAGCTGTGAGCATCTTCCCATCACAGCAGACAGGGGCTGTGAGAAACACAGACGCCTTTTTTTGACCAAGGGAAGTGAGCTGACGCAGCCACAAGCTGGGAGCCACATGCCCCAACCTCTCACTTACACGTTCCTGCCTTTGCTGTAGGCTTTGTTCTTCATGGCTTATTTTTTCCATCACACCACATTTCCAGGTTGTGCTATGCCAAGTGATCACGGACGGAGGAAGTGTCTTTTTCCAGTATGTGAAGTAAAACCCTGCCTGCCCCTGCAGAGCAACCCATCCTGCCACTGTGCAGGCTTGCTGGGGGCTCACGTGTCTCTCACAGCAGCACCTCACCCCATGACCATCCCACTGATGCAAGCAGAGCCCTCTCTGATTCCTGTAAAGGCTTGGGGGCTGGCCCAGAGCATCTTCAGAGCACACTGCTCATTGGCGACATGCAGAACCACAGGCTGATGGATGGGCTACCATGTCTTATCACCAGCTCTCATCCCCCGCCTATGTTCTTTTTTCTGTCTGCTCAAGACCCTGGATGCACCAGTATCGCCTCTGCTAAGCTTGAAGCTCAGCGTGCTCTGAAACAACATGTTCCTTGACCTGCTTTTCTCTCATCACTAATTCACACCTAGCAGATTTTCAACTCAGCTCATGCATGAACTCTGCGCTGACACCACTTAATGGCTACCTAACGCATTCTGACAGAGCTCATTAAAAAACAGAGAGACGTGGATGGCAGCAGCGTGCCTCAGCTCTGACCCCCGGCTCCAGGCAGGTCTGCCAGGGAATCAACTCACTGCGATGGAAATACGAAGGAACAGCAGAGAACTGTAACAGCATGGCTTGCTTCAACCATTAAAACCCAACCCCGAGGTGGACAATCACACGAGAACTCTGAGACACGATTCCAGCCTGCAGGCTGACCGACTTCCCTGAGCACATCCATGGCTCACCCAGAAACACGGGAAGCCAAAACCCAGGAACGCTGCTGGTGCTGCAGCACTGGTAATGCAATACATGTCAGCACAGGAAGGCCAAACTGGCAGCCTGGGAGGACCAAGGTATGAAAACAAAATTTCTTGGCAGCGTTCCGTTTTGTATTTTTCTTTCCCCTGGCAAAACAAGATCCTAACATAGAAAACAAGCAATCACAAAAGCAGGGTGAAAAGGCTGCAGCTGAAGACATAACTGTATTCCCAGATATGTTCTCAGCCCTAGAAAGTTCTGAATGGCACATTTCTAAAGACGATTTTAAATAACTAAAGGGCATTAGTTACTTGGAAAGCTACCAATCTCTTTCTATCTTTAATATGGAAGTTCTGATCCTAAATGTTTTCCATGAGGCAGCACCCCTCCGACACAGCCAGCTACGTGGTACTGTGGGCTCTGAGGTTCTGGTTGCAATGACGAGGGCACAGCCAAGGGAAAAGCACACAGTACTCACAGAGGGAAAGGCTACAGCTTCCCTAGTACAACCAGCAGCACGGGTTTCCTTATCAGAGAGGCTGCATGGCTGCGAGGTCAGCTGGAGAGCTGGTGACTGCATTGCCATGGAGCCAGTCAGAGGGGTGAACACACTTATGGCCATTTCTCACACGAACTCATGGCCAGGACTGATGCCAAGGAAGAATGCAGAGCAAACGTTCAAGAGATGGTCCCTTCCCACAGGGACCCTGCAGTCCTTCTCAGCCCTGAACATCTGGGTAGCATCTTTGCTGTCAGTCCCACATTCAGGAAGGCTGTGACAAGCAGTTGTCCTCCTGTCATCTCCTACTCACTTGTCTCCACCTCGCACCTTCCACCCTGGGCAGCACCACGAGGCTGCCAGGCCCTTAAACAACAAGGCCTGCAGACATCATCACCTGGAATTTGGGATGATGAATCCTAAAACTGGCAGAGTGAATAGCAGAGCTGCTCTGAGCTGCTAGTCCTACCTCGCGGCGGTTGCAGCGCAAGAAGTGTTCCCAGGTCAGGAAAGGAACATGCTCTGCTGGACTGCCACATGGAATGCCACGCTAAAATAACGCACGAAGCTTTGGGAGCTGGGAAGCTGCTTGCAAATGGCTTGTGAGAAAAAAAGAACAGAGAAAAGAGGACAGTTTGCTAGGCAGAAGGATGACAGTGCCCAGCAGTGCCTCACTGCTGCACAGCAAGGGCAGCAAGCAAGGGACAGGAATGCCCTAAGAACAATGGCAGCTCACTGCTTTGCTGGTAAATGGAAAAGCCACAAGTGCCACAGACCTCACTGGCAGATGAGAAGTGCCTTGGAAACAGGCAGGCAGGGGTGGAATCACCGTCCTAGCAGCACATCTCAGCACCCTGCAAAATACCCAGACGCACCGGGGATGGCGGACACACACATGCTACAGGCACAGAGACATCCAGAGCATCTCAGCAAAGCTTCTCAGAGCCGCAAGCAGCAGCAAGAGACCTCGCGCTCAGCAGAACGTTCCTTGGCACAGATGGGGACACGAAGGGACGCGCAATAAAACCCTTCCCGGGGGATTCAAAAATAATATCGTGTACATTCCAGCTTCCCGAACAACAATCGCCTGCAAGGCAGGCACTGTGGGAAAGTCTCAGCTTGCTTTTCCTGGGTATTATAAATAGAATTACGGCTGTGAGCAAGGCTCTAAACATGGAGGAAGGGGGAAAGGCCATTTGCTGGGCTGTGTTTGAACTCGGGCTCTGGCTGGAGGCCAGCTTTCTGCACAACAGCTGGTCACTTCCTGCCAAAGCAACGCAACGCTGCGGCGCTGGGAGCCAGGGAGCCTTGAAGCAGCACTGCCTGCAGGCTGCGAGCCCATGGACCAGGACAGACAGCGTGAGAGAGGGCAAGTAGGTGTGAGGCTTCCCCAGATGTGCTCCAGCTCAGCTCCCAGGGGCCTGAGGAACTTCTATTCCAGCAGGCTGAACCCATCACACTCACAGCTTGCCCGCGCTGCCCAGCTCTGCGGGCTCCGTGTCCCACTGCCCATCACAGGAGCGTGCAGAGCCCCGCAGCAAGCAGCTGCACGTGCTGATGGCCACTTCCCATTTCTCTTGTCCTCCTGGCTCCTGCTCGTCTGAACTACGTGTCTCTACGTCCTTCTGGTTTCTATACACCTGGGTTATGGGTCTGTACGTCCCTCTGGCTCCTACTCATCCAGGCTGCGGGTCAGCAGGTCCCCAGACCACCTCTGAAGTGCCATTACCACGTACAAGGCAGGCTGTAACGCATCACAGCCAGGGGCGGGCCCTGCACAGGTACCCCCGGACCAGCAGCTGACCGACCCACGGACCCACGGACCGCCCGACCCACGGCTGCTGGAACCGCCTCCGGCTCCACGCGGCCCGACCTCCGCGAGGCGCACGGCTGAGCGGAGGAGCGCAGCACGCATGCGCGGCAGGGGCGCGCGCCGCCTTTGTTTGGGGCGGCGGATCTTCCCGGCCTGCCCGGCGCGCGCAGAGGGGGGCGTGGCCAAAAGGAGAGGGCGTGGTCAACGGGAGGGGGCGTGACCAAACCATCGGGGGAAGGGGGCGGGGCGCGGCGCGCGGCGGGGTCAGTCGGAGCGCGGCGGCGGAGGAGGGAGGAGGTGCGGAGCCGAGTGGAGCGGAGCCTAGCCGGAGGCAGCTGAGGATGATAAACACCCAGGACAGGTGCGCGGCCCCGCCGGGCCTCTGCGCGCTCCTCGGGGAGCCGGAGGCTGCCGGAGGAGGGCGTTGGGCCCGAGGAGCTCCTGCGGGGTGGGCCCCGGCGGGCTGCGGCCTTCCCTCGGCTGAGGTGGGCGGGAGGCGGCGGCCGGGCGGCCCGCGCCGTGGGGCCCGGCGCTCGGCCGTCCTGCGGTTAGCGGGGCTGTCCCTGCGTCCTCGGCACCGGGAGGTCGGCACACGGCCGTGGGGCTGCGTGGGGACGGCGCCCGGCGCGAGAGAAAGGAGCGGCCCGACTCGTTGCAGCGGAGGTGCCGGCGGGCTGCGGGTGTGCGGCTGGAAGGTGAGCGGGTGTCCGCTGCGGAGTGACGCCCGGCGGCGCGGGCACGGAGCTCTGCGCGCTGATCGGCCGGAGGAGCCTGGGGGGCTCAGCGCCTTTGCTACAGCGAACGAGAAGGGGCTGCGGCGGATGGCAGCGCTGTGCAGTTTGTGCTCTGCGTCGGTTACGTCGAGGGAGGAGGCTTTGTCGGGCTGTGGTGTGAAGTTCTTCGTGGGACCGCTGCGTGGGAAAGAAGGAAGAGTCCTTTGATTGGTGCCCCGTGCTGCTGTTAGGGCTGTTCGGTGGGAGGTGAGGCAGCGTGCAGGCTGGGTGAGGCCGGGCCCGGAGGCCGAGCCCTTGAAGAAGGGAGCTTATGTTCTGCCTCCTGCATGTGCCAGAGGAAGCGAAACTGGGAAGTGGCTGGAGCTGCTTTGCATGAGAACTGCTGCCTCTCTCTCTTATTTATTTATTTTTTTCCCCCACGACTGCACTTCATTATCCAGCTTCACGATGCATTGGCCGCAAGCTGGAGAGTGCTATCAATAGTACATTGTTAACTGGGGGGGTGAGGGAGGAGGGAAGGGAAAAACAAAGCTGCCAGCAGCTTTTTGGGGGTGGGGAATGGCACAGCAAAGTGCTTTGTCATGCCTCTCCACATCCACTACTACTGAATACACACTGGTCCATTGATGGCCCCAGTCACGCCGTGCTGAGGGACTGTATTAACACAGAGCTCAACCGGGCATGTGCGTGAGGGATTCTGCCCTCAGACATCTCCAGTGTGAGTACCTCATGGCTCTTCTGGTGCCTTCAGCAGCCTCTTCTGCGAGCAGCATCTGCCGTAGGTTGTGGCCACATGGGCACGCTGCAGAAGAGCACTGTCTAGCAACGCTGAAGGAGGAATATTTGTGTTTTCTGCAGAGAGATTGTTTTGGTATGGGGTAGATAGCCAGGACTTTAGCCTGTGTCGTAATTGCATTTGCAAGTTATTTTTGGCACCCACAAGCATTTTGGTTGTTTTCAACCTGCTGGTGTGCATTCCGTTCCCTGCATACTGCTCAAGCCATTCAGGTGGTGTGGCTCCCTGAGTGCTGAGCTCATAGAGCAGGGCTGGAGTGTGGAGCAACACCTCACCTGAGAAGCTTTAGCACAGAACCAGCTGTGGATGCCTGCATGGCGCCTGTCCCTTACAGCTTCTGTTTTTTGGGAAGTTGTGACAGGGTGGTGTTCATGCAGCTCTGTGCTGGTGTGCTGCATCACGCAGTGCTGGGCAAGGGCTGCTTTCTTTGTGTTGGATTTGCAGGCTTGGTTACAGGAATGCTGCTGCCCTGTGCCTCAACAAAGGGCTTTTTTGGTGCTGGTAAAGGACATAATGCTCCAGAAGCAAAATACCTTGCTTTTGTGAATGTGCTGAAAGCTAGGGTAGGTGGTAAAGCCTGTAGAGCACAGAGTGATCCTGAAGGACTGCAAGCAAACTTTGAGATTGCAAGGGAGCTTCTTTCACTTGTGTTAAGCTCATAAAAACCAATTTCAGGATGAAGTCTGTGAGGTGAGCTTGTAATGGATAGGATTGGGCTGAGGGATGCTTGTATGATATTTCACGCGTGTGTGAAAATGCCAGCTGGGATGTTGTGCAGTACGTTGGAGGCGTCTGAAGAACCAGCCCTTTCACTCCTCCCTGTTTCGAAAACGTGAAACTTTAAACCTCCTCCTTCTGAGCCCTGTTGATCTATTTGTAGATATTTGTCTATAGAAAATGTGTGCTCATCTGGTCATGCGTTTCAGCCATCTGCTCCTGGCAGGCTCCCAGCCGTCCCTTATTAGCAAGAGGTTGCTCAGCACTCTCTCTGAGTTTGTGGCTACCAGAGCCCTCCTCTGCCTCCAGCAAAGCCCTGCTGTTCTCACAGTGTGGGCAGCGAGGTGGCTTAGTGCAGACCTGCAGGTGTGGAAGGTCCATGGGTGCCCCTCCTGTGTCTTGGGGAAGCAGGAATACAAGTGGCTTGGGGTTGGGAGCTAGAGTGTTGGAAACCTGATCCCTACTAACTGCTGTTCTCTCTTTCTCTTGCAGTAGTATTTTACCTTTGAGTAAGTGTCCCCAGCTGCAGTGCTGCAGGCACATCGTTCCGGGGCCTCTGTGGTGCTCCTGATGCCCCTCACCCACTGTCGAAGATCCCCGGTGGGCGAGGGGGTAGCAGGGATCCTTCTCTTTCAGCTCTGATTTATAAGGTGAGCAACATCTGGTGTCCAAATAATGACCTGTATCTGCATTACAACTCTGCTTGCTTCCTTCTGGGGATAAACACAAATAACCCTGAGATAATATGTGGGGAAACAGTTCATTTTCTTTCAGCGACTGCCGGCGGCTCTGTCTTGCTTAAGTACCGCTGGTTTCTTAGTGAACTTTTATCGGAGGCGCGCAGCCAATAGCTGCTGAGCCCCGTTCCCAGAGGCTGTTCCAGCTGCTGCTTGCAGAGCCAGCATTAGCAGCGCATGAAGCAACTTCTCAAACATTGTGAGAAGAGAGGAAATGGGAAGCAGGAAGGTGAAATGCAGAGGGAGAGGGTTGGTAAGCTCCTTCTTGTGCCCTGCTCCAGAAGGTAACACTGTCCAGGCCTGGGAGCCACCTGAACTTTGTGGAAGCAGCAGGCTGCTCTCAAACTGCAACGTTCCTGTGTGCAGGGAGGGACAGGATCACAGTGTTTCTGCAGAGTTGCCTAGTTGCGAGTGTCCCCCTCGTTCTGTGGCCACCTTCGCTGTAAGGCATCTTTTTTGGCTTCCATCTGGATTGACTCTTTGGTACAATAACTGGTGCTTGTGCATCTTCTGTTATGTTACAGTGATGTGCATCTCTTGCCTTCTGGGACGAGGGCTGTTTTCCACAGACCAGGCTGTAAAGTGTTATTGGATGAAGTTGCCTAAATTTATGCTAAGCTTGCAAATTCAGCAGCTCAGACAGCAGTGTTGTCATAGGTGTTAGCCTTGTTTTTAATTATCCTGTGGGAGGCAAGCAGACTTCGTATGATGAAATGATGCAGGCCCTTTCAGGTCACAGCTACACACTCTGAAAATTCACGAGAGAATGCTCACTGTTTTGCTGACAAAACCCAGTTTGTTACCAGAATCTTTGAAAACTGACCCCTTCCTTAACAGAGCTCATCCTGGAGTGGAGCAGGTTGTGTTTTTAAACTCTTTAGAGCAATTTAAAGTTCCACTGCAGATGTGGGTCACTGGGAGCCTGCCCCTCTCTGCTGCCTGCACAAGTCAGTGGTGCTGCAGTGTGACATGGAAAGGCATCTGGACCCAAAAGCTTAAGCCCTTTTTCCAGCTATATCAGCTGTTCTAGCTGAAGGGATGACCTTTCTGAATGAGCCTGCCTCCTTCCTGAGTCTGCAGCACAGTGCGTGCACACAACAGCATTATAAACTAAGCAATATGGCTCCCTATAGCTGTTGGTGTTCTTGCGTTCAGAGACTTAACACAAAAAGATCCTAACATCCTTCTTCCCTGTCCTGCCAGCACCCAGGGGTTTCCCCCTGTCCTCCTTCAGATGCTTGAGGAGTGCAACTGAATGGAAAATTTTGTACTCGGTGAAGTATAAGCAAGTGGGAGCTGGTCCTTGTGGCTCTGAGCTGCCAAAAAGGAGCCAGGGGTTGCAGAGCAGGCAGCTGGGGATAAAAGTGTGGCGGGGACATTCTGCAGGGGTGAGTGAGCAAAAACTGGATGCTTGTTGCACAAACAGGATTTTGCTATGAGCATGTTCCAAAGAATTCTGGACTACTGCTTCATAGGAACAGCTTCTGTCCTTGGGATGTCACTATTTTGATACACAGGCATAAAATACCGCTTGCCTGAGATGGGCTGTATAAATGCAGTTCCCACAGAGCCAGGGGAACTAGTTCTGTTAATCCATGTAAATGGGAAACCTTGCTAGATTCAGAGCTTGGAGAAAACTTTGAAAGTGACTGGCTTCTGCTTGCAGAAGGGCCGGGAGGCTCTGGGAACCCTTCCCTGCTGCTGCAGGCTTTGCAGACCTTCCCACACAAACCAGTGCATGTGCCACCCCCTTCCTTGCTTTTCTCAACTTCCTTCTCTTTTTGTTTTTGTGAAGTATGAGAAAAGCATCTGTAAGCTTCTCATACTTGAGAGATCTCTTCCAAAATGAAGAGACTTTTTGTGCACAGGAAAAACTGCAAAAGGCTCATGGGATGAAGTCACTCCTGAAAGGTGTGTGTAATCCCTTTGTTGTGCTGTTTTTAAATGCAACTCTGTGGTGCTCAGACCTGATTCTTGCCACCAGCTCTGTTGTACCATGGTCAGGTGCCCCCTTTTCAGCTGCAGCTCTTGGTAGGTAGGCTTCTTGGTGCACTTGGCTTAAAACCATCACAATACCCACAGACTTGTTTCAAGCTCAGCCAATACGTTTATTTCCTGCAGGATATTTATTCTGACCAAGTGTAAACTTGTTTTTCAGCACACAGCTTTGTGCACTTGAAACAAACAGCAGCTTCCTCTGCTTTGGTGACCAGCAGCAGGCAGTTTTTGATTTACATGCAGAGCCGATGTCACCAGCATTAACATGCTCAGCAACTTCTTTCTTGGCACAGCAGTGAAACCAGGGAGGTTTGACTGCTTGGATGTGTGGTGATAGGGGTTAAAACAGTGGGAAATAAGGTGTAGGAGCCTGGAAACCCTCTCAGAGGTCTTCCTGCTGAACCACTTCTTTCTGCAGTGCTTGCACAGCGGAGGAAACATCCCCTGCCCTCCTGCTTGTAAGGAGGAATACCATGGATCCAAACTGATCTGCCTTTTCTTGGGTGTGGGCATTATGGTCAGACCTGCATAGGTGGAATATATGAATTAAAGATAAGGAGCTCATAAGCTGGCTCTGTTGCCCTGATACAACAATTCAGCTGCAGTTGACAGTGTTACTCTGGGGCCTAATGAATTTCTTCGGTCGTTTCACTGGGGTTTTTTACAGCTAAATGTGGAAGTTATTACTGGGCAAGCCTGCTGCCTACAAAAACTGTCAGGAGAAGGAATGGCACTTAACCACAAAACTGTTTTCTAGGAACTGCTCAGCTGAATTTGAGGCAGGCTGCATGCTTGGCATCCTGCTTAGAGCTGTGTTAGGGGGCCATGCGTACATCTGTGGTCTCTGGAAAAGTCCTTGCCAGTCTTCAATCCATGTAGCTTCTGTCTGGTTTGGGATTCTCTCTGTGCTGTCTTTTACTCCCTCAATCCACTGCCGTACCAGCTGGCTGGAAGGTCTGGGGAAGCAGTTTGTAGTCATTCCTTAAACAAAAAGACTGTGCTGGGGAGCAGGGTGACAAAAGTGGTCAAACTACAGTGGCAGAAGCTGTTCTTGTGTGTTGGTTCAGGCTTCAGGAGTCGCTCACAAACTGCCCTCCCAGATCTGAATGGTCCCTTGCTGCCCAGGGTTTGAGTATAAGGTTGAATATGCAGAACTGCACTCACATGAACAGGAAGATGCATTTTGAGCACTGCTCCAAGGCCCGAATGCTCATCATGGTGTGTCTATACCCTACAGTCATTTCATGAGCTCTCCTCCCTCCCCTGTGCAGGATGAGAAGATCACTGTTAGCCAAGATGTCCCGGTGCACGAAGGGAAGCCTCATGTTGTCCACTTCCAGTACAAGGTCACAGAGGTGAAGACTTCCTCCTGGGATGCAGTGCTTTCAAATCAGAGCCTCTTTGTGGAAATCCCTGATGGGTTATTAGCTGATGGAAGCAAAGAAGGGTAAGTTTGGGGTCCCAGAGCTATGCTTGTGGTGTTTTGCTTATGTTTGTGATGCACTGTGTATGGGGAGGTGAGCTGTACACACAACAGCTCTATTCCCTGGTTTTATACGTAAAGGATGTCCTTCTTAACGCCTTGTCTCCCATATACACATCTCTGAAGACTAGCATGAGGATATTTTTTTCCCCTTGGTGGCAATTCAGGATGGGTTACTGTTTTTGGAGGCCCTGTGCTAATGAAAAATACTCAAGAAATGAGTGGAGCGATTCTTTGCATACTTTGTGGAACACTTTATTCCACTGGCCAATTGGCAAGCTTCTTTTGGCAAGTATTTTCTTCTCTTCCAGGGGGGAAAAACTCCATTATATTGCTGTGCTCCTTCTCATCAGTAGGTGGTTTTGCTGTTGGGCTGCTGCCACGCAGGCTGCTGGCTCTGCCAGAGCCTCTGATTTTTTTTTCTGCTGGCAGAATAGGGCCGTGTTTTGTCCAGACAGCTCTGCTCTGGGAAGTTTGTGTAAGCGCAGCTTCCAGAGCAGCTACTCCCTGCCAAGCACATTGCTGGAGATCTCTGGTGGGGAACGCCGTGGCATAGATGTGGCTTTGCTGGATTCCTGTGCAGAGCCCTCTGAAGTCCTTCTAAACTTCAAGACGGGCTTCATCAGCAAATGTGACCAGCTCTTTCTCATTACAACAAAAGACTCATTGGGCACCTTCAGCCCATGCTGTTCCTGCTGCCTCATGCTGGTCCCTGTGCTCTGAGTCTGGGTGAATGTCTGTGTAATCCCTGCAGTTGGCCCCACATGTGCCCCTGCTCTTGGAGGCCTTCACCTGCCCCACTCATCATGGCTTCAAGCACGATGCCGCAGGCTTATTTTTAGCTAGGTAAAACAGCCAAGTAGAGGCTATAATTAAAGTAGTTAATTACCATATTAACGAAATCCTTGCAAATTTAATCTCCCTCAGCGTGCTCCGAGCTCACTGACTGCTGTTTAATTAGATCTCAACGCGAGCCCTGTTTGTCACCGTGCTCACAGCCCGCATCGCAAATTGTGGCGGGGTGCTGCGGGGCTCAGTGCCCCTCCGTGCCCACCAGGAGGGGGGGCAAATAACTGGGCAGAGGAAGGAAGCTGGGTTCTGCCGTGTGGCTCCTTGGTTGTGCCAGCCAGATGATGTGTTCAGGAGACAGCTTTGTGCATTACGGGTCGTGTGCGTTGCCAGCAGAGGGAATGAATGCACACAGCTGCCATGTTCAGCTCCCCACCTCCAAAGGCTTTGGTGCAGCACTGCTGGCTGGTGGGGCTGCATGTTGGTCGGTGCTGGGGACTCGGACTCAGGCTTGGACACGAAGGCAGGAAGCCCATTGTTTTGGCACCCATTGTTCACCAGGAGAGATGTCTGTAAACAAGTCATCATTCTGCCTGACAGCATCCAAACCACGGATGGTGCTCAGAGGCTTCCTCTGAACAGGACTTCCTATTGCTGATGTTCTTTTGTCTTCTCCTTGCTCCTTGGCAGGTTATCAGCACTGCTGGAATTTGCTGAAGAAAAAATGAAAGTCAGCTATGTCTTTATTTGCTTCAGAAAAAGCAGAGAAGATAGAGGTGAGAGCTCAGCCCCGCTGTCAGATTTACTCCTCAGATCTAAAGCAGTGCTGCTGAACCCATGAAGAAACCTGGTGTGTCCCGGGGCCTCAGGGAGTGCTTTCTCCTGCAGGAGTCCCTACATGTGCTGCTTTTTTTTTTTTGAGTGTTTCCTTGTCCAGAAAGTTAAGCCTCCTTCTTTGGGGAGGAATGGTATTTGGCACCAGCCTCTGTGGTTTGGAGAGGTTAATACCCAGGACATCAACCCTGGTAGCTCATTGCCCCGATGCCCTTCTGCTTTTTAAAGATCTCCCAGCACTTTTGCCTTTCCTAGGCCTGCAGGTAATCCTGCCTCAATGGGAGATGCTTATGGCTTAAGGGGGCTGCTTTAGGATCTAAAGATAGCTGTGTTGGGTGAGTGATTAGAGCACGGAAGTTGGAGATTTGTGATGAGGTACAGAGCTATGGATGTGTCACTTCAGATCTCACTAGATGCAGACACGTAACCAAACAAATCACCGTGGCAGGAGTAATTCAAGCCTTAATTCTAATTTTACTCTGCTACATCACAAGCTGCGCTGTGCTCCCCAAAGCAGAGCACACTATTAAAGCTAAGCCGCACTGAGCCCAGGAAGATGTCACTCTATGTTAGGATGCCAAAAATAATTTTCAACGGAATGAGTTCTTGTGTTTCACCAGCATTGGCTGTGTAGGTGACCTCTGTAGTGGAGGAGACACCTGATGCTGGGTTCTGCTTGCTTTTAAATTAATAAGGCATAGGGTGTTACTGTTAAACCTGGCTGTGCCTGGAGGCTCATAGCCAGAGGTACCCTGGGCTGGGGGTGGCTGTTCTGAGCAGAGCTGCAGCCCCCAAATAAATGCAGAGTGAAAAGCATCAGCGTGCTGCAGGGTAGCTGCAGATCCCCACTGTGGTTAGGAGTGGTGTTCACGGCTCCTAGGGTGAGGCAGGTGCAGAGGATGGCTCCTGGTGGTAACACGTTTCCTTCTCTTTGGTAGCACCGCTCCTGAAGACCTTCAGCTTCTTGGGCTTTGAGATCGTGAGGCCTGGTCACCCCTCTGTCCCGTCACGGCCAGACGTGATGTTCATGGTGTACCCTCTGGATCAGAACTCTTCCTCTGATGAAGAATAGCTGCGGTGGGGGACCTGAGCGTGACCTGAAAACCTTTTGAGGGGAGAGAGGGTTACATCTCCTTTCTTGAGGAAAGGGAAAACAAGCTTTTGTTGAACTGAAACTGCATTTCTCATTGTTAGATTGGCCTGTGTATCCTCAGAGTTGACTATCTCATTGAAACGTGTTGCCTAGAGAACTATATATACACACATGTAATCACCAAATAGTAAATGGAAGATGTTTATCAACTGGCATAGGAGCTCCTGCCATGCGGCTGTGTGCTGTGCTAGCCTAGAGGCACCTCGTGCGGGGCTGCGTAGGGAGCACAGCGGTAGATGCAGCATCATCAACCTGACTTCTCTCCATCACTGTTGGTCTGTCCCCATCACCTGATGTGTGGCGTGCGCTCATCTGACCGAACACCTCTTGGTTTTCACTCAGACTCTTAAAAGTAAGGCATGTTTGGGGGTTAGACACGTGGAGGAGGCGTGAGTTAACCTTTAACACTACATTAAAACCCCTCTGCATTTCTGCTTTGGGGCAACCAATGCTGTTTTAACTGGTCTAACTTTTTCTTTCTTTCTTTCTTTCTTTCTTTTTTTTTAAGAAAAAAGACCCAACTTTCTTTCCTCTTCCAGCTTTTGTTTAAGCAGTCTTACTCTGTTCAATGTTACCGCTGCACTATCACCGCGTTCAATAAAAGGGGCATTCAGATTAACTTCACCCAGCTGGGGCTGCTTATTTGCAAGAGCTTTCCTTGTACTGCAGTGGTTCCTGTGGGGTGGAGGAGTGCTGGGACCACCATCCAGGGGCTACGTTCCCACCTGCAACCAGTGACGGTGGGTCTCATCCCAGGGTTGAGTGTGGGGCTGTTCTCACACCTGTCCTCCTGCCTGGGGAGCAGTGGTGCCCAGGGTGAGAAGCTTTCCTCTCCATCACACCTATGCTCTCACTGCCAAGCTGCCCTGCTGTGGTGGGCTGCCTGCCTTCAGGGCCACGTGCACAGGGTGTAGGGATGGACTGTGCCCCAAGATGTGTTGCTGGCGCTCTCTGGCCTGGCTTCTGCATGTGGAGATGTCTGTGAGGGCCATGTGCATTCCTGCTATCCTGTGAAGAATTTCATTAGAGTAGAAGCTGAGCCATTCTGTAATCGTGCTCAGTATTTTCTAAGGGGGGAGAAAGGTGGAGCAGGGATACGAGCTGGTGTGAATAAATCATCTTAAATTTTTGCATCTCTTTGCCCTCCTTCCCTTCCAGTGTGATGGAAGCAGGGTAGATGTGAGCTCAAGGGGCGCAGCACGGGGGGCTGCCATCCCTTTCCAAGTCCCTTAGTGGAACTGATGGCTGTTTGGGGAACGGCTGCGCTCCCTCCCTGCAGGCCAGGCAGTGGGGCACAGACTGGCTCCTGGGCTCAGAACTGCCTTGCTTCCAACACACCCATCCCTTTATATAATTGCTGCCTATTAAAGCTTTAATTTTACGCCTGTTGCTTCTCAGCAGCTGACCTTCCTGGAGAGTCCCTAATCAGTTAGTTATCCCTTTAAGTGCATTTCCGGGGCTTTAAATGGCGTAGGGGCTGGGTCCCTGCGCCGTGTTGGGCACCAGGGGCTGCCTGTGGGTCCCCCGCCCCAACGCAGCGCAGGGGAGCGGGGATGGGAAGAAGAAGCCACCCTCACAGGTTTGTGATTGTCTCTTAAAAAGATTTATTCTCTCTCCTTGCCCAAATGTACAAAGGCAAGAAGAGTACAGTTTGTATATATATATATTTATATATATATATATATAAAAAACAAGGAACTTGGTAATAATGTACACTTTACAGAAGGGCAGAATCAGGAAGACTGAAATGAAACCCAACACAGCAACTCCAATGGAAACGAGAGCTATCAACACCAACGGCTCAGCCCCGCTCTGCTCCACCTGCGGTCACTGACCCTACTGGGGCGGCCCTGGCCATGGGGTGATCCTGCAGCACCCCGGCCCCGCTGCCTCGTGGGGCGACCGCTGGAAGAGCAATGAGCCAACCTAGGAGGCATGGGGGAGCGCCACGCTGCCGGGCATCCCTTGGGCTGGGAAAGGTGGGAGAGCAGGGGGACGGGAAGAAAACAAAACCCAAAAACAACAGCTTTCAAACAATTGCTTTTTACAGTATGTACAGAGCATCCCGGTACAGCGGCCCTGGGGCCGGGGGTGCCTCGCGCACGCACAGCGGAGACGGCACTGCGGCCCCGGCCCGGGGGGAGACGGTGGGGCCGAGGTAGCGCTGGCCGGGGGGCGGCGGGCAGGCAGAGGACCAGAAAGCCCCTGTCCTCGGGCGCAGGGAGCGGCAGCAGCGACCTCGTGCCTCTGGGCAGAGCCTAAGTGTGCTTGTTCCTCGCTGAGCTCTGCCCGCAGCCCGGGGAAGCCGATGGGAGAGGGGAGGGAGCGAGGGGAGCAGCACCCCCGGGGGCACAGCTCGGAGCCCAGGGGGAAGCCGTGGGGCCGGGCCGCACAAGGCACTGGGGAGAGACCCCGGCAGCAGGGCAGGTGGTGGGGGTCCCGCCGCCCAGCCCGGGGCGAGGGGCTGTGAGAGGCGTACGGGGCAGCTGCGGCCGACAGGGGCACCGAGGCCGCCTGACCCCACGGCTGCGGCCGCCCCGCTGCTCACCTCCCACAGCTCCCTGAGACTGCTGTAGCGCAGGGCTCGGCCCGGCCGCGGCCCCGCGGGGGCGGGGGGCAGCGTCCCAGCCCCACCGCCCCATGCCCCACGCTGCTCAGCCCCACGGCAAGGCCGCGAATTCATCCAGAGACCTCAGTGCTTCCGTTTCCTCTTCATATGCACCAGGTGGGCGATCTGCTCCCATCCCGAGCGCCGAAGCCCAGGAGAATAAATACTTCCGCAGGTGCCGGCTCGCCGCTCACCAAAGGGCTGTGGGGCTCAGTGTGTGTCCGACGGGGGGAGAGGACAGAGTCTGCCTCAGACGGTGGCAGAACGTCCAGCAGAACAATCAACACCATTCAACTGATGTCTACAGGAGTCTCCGGCGCGTCCCCATGTGAGCCTGTCACATGCCTGCTGCACAGCCCGGTCCCGGCGTCACGTCCTGCTGGAGCCAAGGGCTCAGCCCGCGCCCAGGGGCCAAGCCCAGCACCCCACGGCAGCCTTACCGTCCTCACCTGCGGGGCGGCGGGTAGAGGGAGGGCGCGGAGCCCTGCTGGCTGGCCACGATGGCCGTGGAGGACAGACCTGCGGGGAGAGGGGGTGTCAGCAGCCAGGCCAGGAGCGGGGTTCACGCTGCCCGGCGCTTCCCGGGGCCCGCAGGGCTCTCACCTGTTGCATAGGGCAGGTTGTACTGCGCCGGCAGCAGCGAGTACCCGAGGTGGTGGTGGTGGTGGTGTGTAGAGAGCAGGCGCTGAGATGGTGAGGTCCGGGGCCGCTCTGCGCTCCTCTCCCCACCGCCGGCTCCTCCAATGCTGCTGCAGCTCCCGCTGCCCCCTACCACCCCACAGCCGCTGCGGTCCCTCTCCTGAGCTGTCTTCTCGCTTATCTGTGGGGGAGAAAAGCAGCGGGCGCTGAGGGACGGGGGTACCCCAGCATGCAGGGCTTCCCTGACGGCACAGCACCCCCATCTCGCTTACGGGGTGCCCTCGGCACTGAACAGAGCGAGGGGAAGGATGGTGAGAGGCACCAGCAGGTCTTGGCCCAGCAGCTCCTCCCTGCCCCAGAGCAGGGGCTGCCTCAGAGCCGCCCTGTTCTTCACTCAGAGAGGAGCTGCCTGGTGGCACTACACTGCTGCGGGATGCAAACAGCCCTTGCATCCTGCCCCTCCACCCACCAGCTGCAGGGCTGAGTGCCTCCCTGGAGCAGCCCTGCATGAAGGTTTGGCTCATTCACCCCAAAAAGTTCTGGACTGTGGGATTACCCTACAGGCCCAGACTTCCTACAGCAGGAGCTCCTCCAGGCTGCAGGCACCATCCGGAAGCTCCTGTGAGCTAGGCAAAGCTGCTGACTCTCACCGTGGGTGATTTGCTCTTGTAGTGGCTGGCGTGCTGCTGCAGGATGTCCAGGGCCTTGGACTCGGAGCTGGACTTACAGCTGACACTGGGGCTGGCACGGGACTTGTCGCTGTCATCACTCCCAGATGCCTTGCTCCCATAGGGCGAGAAGGAATAGCTGGAGGGAAGGTATGAGCCTGTGGGGGAAAGGCAGCAGTCAGGGCAGGGGGAGGAGAGGTGTGCTGCTCTGTACCAAGCTGTGGCCACGTTCCAGTGAAGGCCCCAGCTGAGCAAAACGGAGACCCCAGCCATCACTCCCCTGTGCCCACCCGCTGGCTCCTGGAGCACGGCCACCAATATCACCACGGGTCTGGGCTGGGACACAGGCACAGCTGCCCCTGAGATGGCCGTGGCTTCCTACCTGGGTAGTTCTGCATCATGACGGTGGGCATGGCCCGGTAGCTGGGGTGGTTGGGGTCGTACGACTGGCTGTAGGAGTAGCCGTGCATGTAGGGGATGTAGGACTGGTGCTGCGTGAGGGGGGAGGACACAGGGACGTGGACACTGGGCCTGGGGTCCTTCCCCACCATGCGAGCTTCCTCAGTGGGGGTCAGTTTGCACTCGGAGCTGGTGCTCTCTTTCCCATCCTCCTTGGACACCACTTCTTTGCTTCGATTTCTTTCCTCCTTCAACTTTCTGTCCCGCTCCTCCTTCCATCGCTCATCCTCCGTCTTGATGTCCGAGTATTTCGCTGGGTAAACGTAGGTCCACATCCGGGGCTCTGCTTCCTGCAAGAACCACACCAACATCAGGGCAGCTGCCCTCCCCCAGCCCCGTGTGTCTCCATACCACTGGAGACTGGGAAGAGAGCAGCACAGCCATCACCCCTTCCCCAGGTTCTCCACGTTCCCCTCGGTGGCCCCCAGCCAACACGGAAAATCACAGAGTCCCTTCACGATGGGAACAAGCCCTAGATCAGAGGACAATGCGTGTTTTCTGCAGTGACAGCCCTGGAAAACACATGGGGAAAACCCACCAGATGGGCTGTAGGCTGACGTTACCTGTCTGTACCAGAGCACAGGGTCCACCTCTGCTTGCCGACCGCACTCGGAGCCTCCCTTTGTCTCCGCGGCCTCCTTGCCAAGGTGGCCGGCCTCGCTCAGCTTCACCTTCAGCCCCTCGGCCACCTGGCTGCCAGACAGCTTGGACGAGTCCTCCAGCTTGGGGATGATAACGGATTTGGCCATGTCAGCACCTCCCTGCTCCTTGGCCTTGCTCAGCCCCGACTTGACAAGGTCGGTGAGGCTGGGGGCCTTGGTGAGCGTCGGGGGCATGGGCGGCTTTTGCTTCCACTCCTCCTTGAGAGCCGCTTCCCGCTCCTTCATGCCGAGCTCTGCCTTCTTCTCCAGCCCTCTCTGCTGCTGCTGCTCCAGGCTCTGTCTCTGCTTCTGTTGCTCTTCATACTGCTGCCGGTAGGCAGGGTTGGTGCTCAGCAGGTGAGCGTGGTAGCCCTGCTCGTTGTAGCCATAGGGTGGCACGTAGGCGTACTGGTTGTAGTAGAGGGACTGCATGTACATGTTGGGACGCTGCTGGATGACAGAGGGCTGCTGGCTGGAGCTGCCCAGCTCTGCCTTCTTCTCTTCAACGCCCTCGCTCTTCACCTTCACCTCTGGGTTCTCCTGCTCCTCATCCTTCTTCAGCTTCAAGGCTTGTGTCTCGGCCGCAGCCTGGCTGCTGGGGTTCAAGGGCCCCGGGCTTGCCTGAGGGTAGCCAGGGGAATAGTAGGTTTCGAAGCCTTGGTAATAGGGAGATTCTTTGCTCTGAGGTTGTGGGGGGAAAAGAGCTTTTTTGGCTCCATCCTTGACAAGCTGCTCTGGATCCTTTGCCTTCACACTCTCCAGCTTGCCCTCGCCGTCCTCCCCAGCGTCAGAGATGTCCGAGTAGGCCGGGCTGTTGGTTTTCACCGAGCTCGCTTCCGCCCCATTCTGGGTGACGACGTGCAGCGGGGTCATGGGTTGGGCAGGGTTGGCGTTCTCCAGCCTGCTGGCACCGCCGATGGAGGGGCTCGGGGCATTGTCGGTGAAGCTGTAGATTTTATCCGCCTCAGCCTTGATGCTAGCAAGCCGACTCTGATGCGGGTCAGAGGAGCCATTCAGCAGTCCCTCGCTTTTTGCCCCGAGATCGCTCGTTTCCCCCCGGAACGGGCTCTTCCCTTCCTCTGCCCTACACACCTTGCCAGGAGTCAGAGGGTTTTCTACCTCCTTGGGCTCCTTCTTCTTCTTGTCTTTCTTCTTCTTCTCCTTGGAAGGGGTGAGGGCAGGGTTGACCGCGAAGGGCTCACCCATCACAGTAGGTTTGGGCTGGATGGGTTTGAGCTGGGGGCTGCTCGGCATGGTCTGGACCACCGTGGTGGTGAGGCCCGCGGAGGACCCGGGGCTGGCTGCGGTGAGGGTGGCTGTCTGGAAGGTGTAAATAGGCTGTGGGGGAATGGCAGGGGCAATGGGTCTGGCAGACTTCAAGCTTTTGGAAGGCATCTTCTCCTGCTTAGCACCAGATGCCTTCTTGGACTTGTCTTTATCCACGCACCTCTTCTCCAGCGTGTCGAAGCCGTCGTTGCTCGTCTCATCGGCCACCGAGGGACCATCCTCAGAGCCATCGTTAGACAGGGCACCGGGGTCAGTGTCTCCTTCCCCTGCCAGCTTCTTCTTGCTGGGGACCTTGGCGCTGAACTTGCTGGAAGGGGAGGGGCTGTGGGGCTCCATCAAGCGGACCTTGGGGGTGGCCGAGCGCGCAGGCGAAAGCGAGCCCTTCTGTGACACAGAGGCACCATTGCAGTTCCCGACATCGGCATGCAGGGAGGGCTCCTCACCGTACTCGCTATCCACGTCGGCCTCCAGCTTGCTGTCATCGTCCGTGTGCGCGTGGGCCTGGTGATACTTCAGCCCGTTAATGTGCTTGTACTTCTTGTTACAGTTGGGGTGGGGACAGTCGATGAGGATGGGAGAGGGGCAGTTGCGGTCGAGGACAGCCGGCTCCACCTTGACCGTGGTGGGGGGCACAGCTGCCGAGCCCATCGAGTTCGTGCGGATGCGTTTGCTGCCCTTGGAGTCCTCCGAGCTGGAGTTGAGCTCCATGTCGGAGAGGGGTTTGCTCTTCCGCTTGGTGACGGACGAGGGACTGGCCTTCACATCTTCTGCCGTGCCGCTGGGCGGCGTGCGGTGATCTGAGGAGTTCTGGCTCCCGCGGCGCCCCTTGCTGTTTGCTCCTGCCCGGGTCTTGCTGCTGTTGCTGGTCCCTTTGCTGTCCGAGGCGGCGGCGGTCTCGTTCACGGGCGTGTTGCTGTTGGGACGCATGCGCTTGCCTCGGCCCCGGCCATTGCGCATCTCCAGGTCGCTGGTGGGAGAGTCACAGAACCTGCAGAGAGAAGGACGGGGGGTTATCGTGTAATGGCCCCACCATGCTTCCATGTGTGGGTTTGATCCCTGTGCCTGGGCGAGGCGGGCTGGGAGCCCCGGTGCTGCCCAACCCAGCCCTGTGCTTACCGGGGAGGTGCCCAGTCGTGTTGTGTGCAGTCCAGCAGCGTCCCCACGTACGTCTTGTTCCTCCAGGTCACGTTGACCACCAGCATACCTGCAAGGGAAGGGGACAGGGTCACCCCCTCTCCTTTCCCTGGGCACTGAGCAACAGGAGAAGGGGCATTTATGTCTCATGCTCTGGGGTGGACAGAGGGCTCCCAGCGCATCTCAAGAGCCTGCAGTGGGGGAAGCAACCTGCAGAGTAAGTACCACAAGTAAGTAAGCCCCTGCTGTGGCTGCAAACTCCATGTCCCCATGGAGGGGACGTAACTGCCACTAGATGGCAAGCTGAGCCCGGCATCACCGCCATGTGGGCTCGGGGTGGTGATGGGAGCTGGGGCTTTCTTTGGGAAAAGATTCATCTGCTGCTTTTCTTGGCTCTTGTGCTTCTTTCTTGGAGTCTTCTGCAGCATCTCACGGCTCTCCCCATTGCTGCAAGCAAGGAAGGCCCAACCTGCACCCAGCGGGTGAGCCCACCCGATGCTAGCACCTTCTGCAAGCTGCAAGAGCAATAAGCAAGTGACTGCACTGCATACTCTGAGGCTGTTAGCGGAGTGAAACCCAAGTGGGTATTTCCTCCCAGCAATGGACTACTCTGATTACTGCATAACTAATTTGACCAGGAGCAGAGTCCATCGCACTGAGTATATTTATCTGAGCAAGGTAAAACTTGGGAGATAGAAATCTCATTTACAAGGGCAGACCAGTGCAGCTAGATATACGGCTGCACAGCCCTGGAAGATGGATGGAGCCCAGGGAGCCCACAACAGCTGTGCCTGAAGCACATTTGTAAATCTCGGGCCACGGCCTCACTCAGAAGGTGCCAGCAGCCAGCTGCAAGCTTTGGAAGGACAACATTGGAAATGGAGAGATGCTCATGGAGCTGTGGCCCCCGAGAGATGAAAGACAGAGTGCTGGCAAGGGCTGTTCCTTCCTCCCTGCACAGCAGCAAGCCCTCTGCCATGCTCCAGCCTATATTTAACCCGCTGCAACCAATCATCCCAAATCCCCTCCTAATCCGCCGCCAATAACCCAGGACAATTTAAAGCATGGGGATGGATGCTAAGCAGCTTTTTTCACCCGCCGTCCCCTGCGGGTGCTCTGGGATGCGAGGGCGGGCAGCAATGCCCTGCGCCCAGCATTGGAGGGTAATGTGTCACCGGTGTCCCAACAGTCCCTTAGCCTCCGTCCTTGGCTGGAAAAGCCTTTGGAGGCGATGAGCTCTGCACCAGGCAGCCGAGCACGGTGCTTTCTGCGCTCCCTGGGAGGGCTGGAGCTGCAGCACTGTGCAGCCAACTGCACCTGCTTTCATGGGGAAGTACCACATGCTGATGTCACTGCAGCAGGGCGCAGAGAGGGGGATGAATGGAAGGTGACTGCCAGGCTGCTCCCAAAGAAGGCAGCAGAAGTTTGGATGCAAGGTGCTGCATGGTGAGGAAACCCTGCAAGAGCGCATGCAGACAAAGAGGTGAGCATGGTGGTGCAGAGCACCCTGCTGGCCAAGCCCCCGTTTTGGAGCAGTTGGGCTGTCTTCCTCCAGAAATCAGTCTGAGAAGACAGGAGCTGGGCACCGCAATGGGGTATCCGTTTGCTGGGACAGATCCAGGCTGAAGCTTTGCGTGCAAGGAAGGTTTAATTTCCAGCGCAGCCAGCACATCAGCTCCCTAATTAGAGCAGTGCTCAGCTCCCAGCCCTGCTGGCTCTCCCATACGGGCACAGACGGCTTCAACTCCTTCTGCCTCTGATGTTCAAGGGCTGAACAAGCGGCTCCATCGCCCGCAGAGATCCCCAGCCCCACAGAGATGCTGCCATCCAGGAGTTCCCATGCTAGACAGAACAGCTGCAAAGAGCTCTGCTACCTTGCTGTTAACCTGCAGGTGCAGGAGCCTTCTGCAAGGCAATGGGACAACACCCAGGCGCATTCTTACCATGAAGAACAGTCTGCCACAAACCATGGGATGGGATTCTTCTGCTAAACGCATCCTCCTGGAGAAGGGAGGCAGAGGAACCGACACCAAGTGCGCTCCCACAAAGCGTGGCACAGCAGATTGCAGCTCAAGAGCCTCCTTGTAAACAAGCCCTCTAATCCAGGCACAGCGGTTAGGGCGGGAGCCCAGCTGCTATCACCTAGGGCAGCGACGTACACGCCGCAGGCAGTTCAACACCAGCAACAGTCCTGTCTGGAGCAGAATATTGCTCACCTGTTGATAAAACAGCCTTCATACAAAGCTGACAGATGCTGAAATAAACAGTGCTTTGAGAGTGATAAGCAGTGCATTAGCTCTGCTCGAGCTCCCTGCCTCCCTGCACTGTCAAGCATCCTGCCAGCCAATATTAGATCTGAAGCAGCCGCGCTGCGGGAGTACCAGGAAATTATGCATGATAAAGCCCCTTTCCTCTATGCTGGAGTGTGAGCAGCTGCTTCGCTCCCAGGGCTGCTGCTTCCCCAGCTGGGGCGCATCAGGACAGCAGCACCCAAGAGGGGATGTCCCTTGCCCAGTGGTTTCCGTGGTGCTGTGCCACGTTGCTCGATGCTCCGAGGCTTTGAATCGCAAACGCTGGCTTGTTGGGGCTGCAAAACAGCACCATTGTGTGGTTTGGGTCCGGTCACTGCTCTGGGTGCGCGCAGCAAGGACGTGCCACCCTGCTGGTGACACCGGTGAGGATGGAGGAGAGCCGGGAGCTAATGAGGCAGCAAGTGGAGTGATGCTCTCTGGTATAATTAGATCAGTTAATAGTTCCTGCAGATCGAAATCACACCTAACAGAATTAGGGAAACTGCCAAGGCAGCTGCTCCTGAGAAAGGCATTTAACAAAGCACGTTCCCTGCACAAGATGGGCTCGGTGAAGGGGAAGAATGGTGTCACCATTGTGGCAATGGGACAGCACAGAGAAGCAGAGGCCACTGCTGGGGACAGAGGCGGAAGCTGGGTGTGAATGTGGGACATGTCGGTCAAGGCAGAAGAACATCATAAGACTCGTGGGAGCACCATCGCAATTGGGATGGCTTTGCTTATCCTTCTCAGGATGCAGGATTACTGGTGGGCCTTGGCTTTATGACGCCTTCACCCCGATTTCCTGGCCACGAGGACAACCCTAAGAGCATTTTCTACAAAAAGGGAGCCACACTGCCTTCTTCTGCGTAACCAAGCCCTACCAAGCAAGGCTTCACATCCTCAGTCACAAGGCAAACCCACTGGCAGGGGATGAATCCAAATATCCTTCTGCTTGAGGCCCGCTGGGGACAGGCTCCAGGCATGCTCCAGCACGGCCCCCAGCCCAGTACCATCCCCCTGGGAGTAAGACACCAGGCAGGGCACCAGTGAGCTGCTTTCACCCTGAGCTTCCAGGTGCACAGAGCTGAGCACGCAGTATGCTGCTCCTACAGAGGCCGACAGATGTGGCAGACTGGAAGCAACCAGGGGAAATGGTGAGATTTGTATTCTGTGTGACAGGAGTGCAGGGCTCGCTGTAAAAGCCATCGCTCCTGACAGCAGGAGCCAAGCGGCAGGCAGCGGAGGCAGGCAGAGAAGGATCTCTACACAAGTTCATTGAATTACTGCAGACTAAAAATAGGCGAGCCGCAGGAAAGGCAGCGCGCCTCTGAGGCAGGGGCTGAAGACAGAGCTGCACATCAAGGGGTGATGCGGACAGACAGGCGGACAGGCTGCGGAGCTTGGCTGGAACAAAGTGGGAAAGCAGCAGCAGGGTTCCTTCCTCGGAGGATCGGAGCCCCACACAGCCATCAGCGCCCACCCATCCTGTGAGTGAGCAGAGCTCACTGCTTGTGCTTTGACCCCTCCCGGCTAAGCAAGGGCTCTGTTGGCTCCTCTGCCTCCTGTCATGTTGGGTGTTTGTTCCTCCTTGCATGTGCAGCGCACACCTCTTCTGATTCCCATCCTCCAAAAAATTAATGGAAGGTCCATCTCTCACCACCACCACCCCGGAGGTTTGACAGAAACCAGAGCCCTGGGGTATTACAGACTGCAGCCTGCGGCCAATGGAGTCGTGCAGGACTCCAGGCCCTGGTGGTGCTGCCGCCATGCGGTGCTCTCCCTGCTGGCTTCCTGGTACAGCCCTGGGGCAAGCAGAGCAGCAGCTGCATCCCAAGCATTGTTGCACATGGCTGTGTCCCTGCCAGCCAAGACAAGGGTCCCCTGGGCCCAATTTTACAGCACGTGGCATTCTCCTGCCTCAGAGAAGCAGAAAGCACACACTCAGCTTCCTGCTAGCTCCATTCAGATGGATTTTTCCACAGCAAGAAGGGAACACAGAAGGGTGGGAGGTTCCATCCAGCTCTGGGTGCCCCATCCTCTGCCACCTCTGCACTCCTGGGCTCAGCTGAAGCCAGACACAACCGCCAGGAGTTCACCTCAGGCCTCCAGAAGCAGAACCCTCCCATGTCCCCAAAGAGGCCGGAGGGAAGGCCGGGTTCCAGCGCTCGCTGTGCTCCGCTGAGCCACCTATTCATCCTTGTGTTTCTTGGCAGAGCCCCAACAGCAACTCAAACCCATCAAAGGGGCTGGAAAGCAAAGCAAGCTGTGTGCAGATGAGACGAGCTCCAGCGGAAAAAGGTTCGATTGGCTTGGCAGAAGAGACGAGAGCCTGATCTCCTGTCGAGTCTATTTTGAAAGCTCCGCCGGGGTTTTTTAATCCAGCAGGAGATTGCTGCTGCCTCCCAGGGTTTGAGCGCTTTTGTGACAGACCTGCAGGTTGCCAAGCAGAAATGAAGTCAACTCTGTCGAGTTCCCGTTCGGACTGGCGTGGCCTCTCCTCTGGCACCTCCAGGAGCAAGTTAGCTCTTGCAGAAAGGCAGGGAAATGGCAGCTGAGATTTTCGCCCACTGTCTGGGCGACGGGCTAACGCAGCGCGCAGGCTGACGCAAGTTTTGGCCTGCCGTTCCCTCCGCCGCACAGCCCGCGAGCTGCTCCCACACAGCTCCTCTGTCCCGACCACCCAAATCGCAGCACAATGCCCTGGAAGTGCCAAGGCACGGGGACAGAGGAAGAAAAGGATCACCGCAACTCTCTGAACAGGAATGCTGGAGAGCAGAAAGCCGCCACTTACCGTCCTCCGTCTCCTGCCAGACGATGCCCTCCAGGTTGACGCTGGTGCCAGGCTCGCAGGGCCCCAGGCACTCGGGCTCGGTGGCCAGCGCCACGTCGCAGGTGTTCACACCGACGGAGCGGGTGCGTACCATGATCTGCTCACACGGCGATGAGATGTCGTTGTTGACCACGGGGACGAGGAGGTGCAAGGGCAGCACGGCGGGCGTGGAGACCGGAGATTCCATCTGTGGGGAAGGAGAAGCGTGTTGATCACAGCAAGTACCAACAGGCAGCCCTGCTTTGGAGAGCCTCGGGAGCCTTCCAGACGGTTCCGTGCCCAACAGAGGACAGGACCCTGTCGGTCTCTCCCACCTGGCATGCCCGTACCCACGAAACCCTAAAAGCTTTGGAGGGGGGTGGGTCCTTCTGCAGGAGAGATCTGCAGAAGCGGGTGCCAAGTTCCTTCCCTAACCACTTCTGCCAGTGCCATTGGGCCCGGTCAGCATGCCTCTTGGCTACTGCTCTGATGCGCAGGCACTCGGTGGCTTTGGACCCTATGGCTCATTAGAAAAAAATTACAGGCTTCTGCTCGACTGGCAGGACAGGCCCAACAAGCAGCGGGCTCTGTGCGGTCCCATGAAAGCCAACATCCTCCTCCTCCCATATCCACCCTGTGACCGTCCCAAGACACGCGTCCAGACCATATCCCCCTTCTCCAGGCAAAAATCAGCTCCAGATCCCAAACACCAACCATTTCACCCTCCTCCTTCATGTCACAGGCAAAGCTGGGCTTGGACACGCCAGGCGTAACTGCCACACAGATCTGCAGTGCTTTGGGGCTGGCAGCTCATCTCCTGCTCGTCTCCTCTCGCACAGTATTTTATGATCTTGATAAGGCACCGAGCAGACTCAAAACAGAAGCAGGCTGAGAATTATCACCAAGTGCTGCCCTAGGTTTCAGTTTCAATCGGCTGAAGGTCTCTGGAGCATCCAGCCCTGCACTGAGACATCCTGCACCAGGAGCTCACACCACACAACTCCCTGTCCTGCACACTACTGCACATCAGTGCATCCCATGCACCCAAGCAAGGATGTTTGCCGTGAGCTGCAAAGCCTCTCCAAATCCTCAGCAATGCAAAGCATCTGACAAAGCATCCGGCATCCCACCAGCACGTGTCCTGTGGGATGCCAAGAGGTTTTGGGTATAGGGACCTCACCAGCAGACAACTCAGCCCCCTAAGCCCAGCCTGCACGTCTCAGTGACTGCGGGGATGAGATGCTCCAAGGAAGCAGCAGGGTTTTGGGGGGACTCAAGGAAGCAAACTGCAATCACACACCAAGTGTTCTGAATCTGAGTGAGCCCCCTGCAAGGAAAGCCATGGCAAGGAGCAAGAGGGATGCTTGGCTTTGGTCTGCTTGTTTGTGCATGCAGGGGAGAGGAAGGGCACCTGTGGGTTTTGAAACTGTTCGGCTTCCTTCCACTTTGCAACAGAAACCACAGTGCAGCACAGGAGCGTTTAATTACAGTTCCAGCTCTGCTAATTATCGCTCGGTCACATTTGTAATCTGCATTACGCCACAGTGCATAATAAGCAGCTCACTGCGATCTCTCTAATAAGCGAGGAGGCTTTATGGGATTTCATATTTCACCCTGCACTGGAACAAACACAGCCTCATTTATCAGCCATCAGGAAAAGGGGCGGCTTGCCCACTCCCACCAAGAGCTCAGGAGCAAAAAGGGGCACGAGGAGCTGGGCATGGGGATGTGACCTGGCATGGGGAGCTGGGCGTGGGGACGTGGCTGAGCTGGAAGAAGAAGAGGGCAGATCGGCCCCTGAATTCCCCATGCTGCACATCTCTTATCTCCCGGTGCTGCAGCCTTCCCTCCTTCTGCTTCACTGAGAGGAGGGGACGTGCCTGCTGGAGGCCGAGGGCAGCAGGAACCAGCATGGGGTGGCACAGAATCAGGCCCCTGTGAGGTCTGCCGTGTGAAATAACGGCACGCACTGCTCCCATCCCACGCACAGCGAGGCCCTGGGACTGCCATGCCTGCCCCATGGGGCCAGGTGCTGTTGCCATTAGAGATGTGGGACCCAAGCTCCCACTGTGGCATAAGAGCATTTAATTCTGCTCCTTGCCATGAGCTGTGGGATGCAGAGGCAGCGTGCGTGGCCTCCAGCAGGAGCTGGGCAGGACGATGTTTCCCATGCCGCTGCCTCTGCAGTGAGCTCCCTACTGAAAGCCCTTTGTGTCCGCGCGGAGGTTTTCCCATCACGAGGAACGTGCTCCCGCCACCGCCGAGGACAGAGGTGGAACGCAGCCAAGGCTGGTGAGCAGCGGCAGCGCCTGGGAACAGCAGCTCTGCCATCACATTGTCAGCATGGGGATGCTAAGGGAGGAGAGGGCAGCGCGTCAGTATTGCTGCTCTGACTGATGCCAACCTCTAAAGCACCTTGCTTTGGGCAGAGTCACGCCACAGGACCAGCAGTTATGAATTTTCTCACTCACTCCCTATAATCCAAGTCATCCGGGCGTGAAATTCTGAGCGATGAAAGCCAACAGGTGTGCCAAAAGCCTTGTGTTTGGGAGCTCTGATAGTGCCTGGCTCCGTCACCATGTCACCATCCCACGGCACACACTGAATGCCACCTCCCTGGGGTGGGATAACCACGTGCAGCTCCACCCGGCAGCTTCAGTGGGTACCTCCAAGCCTGACAGCACAGCCCCCAGGTGCCCCTGCTCCGTGCTGGCTGACATCACGCCAGAGGGCAGCGGGGCTTATCTCAGTGCTGGCAGCACTTGGGGATCAGTGTGCCTTTGATCAAAGCAGGGACAGTGCCCAGGACAGACACGTTGGCACCCAGTCACCTGCTCCAGCCATTTACAGGATTATCAGAGCAGCTCTAGCAAAAGAAAGTAAACAAAAAAAGGTGTTCTCTATAGGAGAGGGGCAGCAAAGAGCAGAGACGGGGGACAGGTGTGTGAGGAGGAACAGGGAAGGAGAAATCCCAGACATCAATCTCCTGATGGGAAGATGCAAGTCTGAAAGACCTCAATGCTGCAGCTCCTTGAAAGCAAGCCAACAGACACCACAAAACCCAGCTGAATGACAGGGGACTCCAGGCAGCCATGCCAGAGCCTGCCCCAAAACCCAGATCTGCACATCCTTAATGCACTTGGGACAAACTGGCTGAGAACTCCTGCAGGGCCCATCCTTCTCAGAGGAGACTGCTGAGCTCTGCTGCTTCAGGGAGGTGAGGAGGACACGCTGATCCTACACCATCCTTTGGAGGTGGGGAGAATCCAACTGTTTCCCCCCAGTTGCATACACCTCCATCAGGATAAGCGCCCACCAACCACAGCGCACGACTGACACAAGGTGCCAGGGGCAGGCACTCGGCTGGAAAACAGCACAACCGTGTGCTTGGTTTGCCTTTTCTTCATCTTTCCCCTGAATTCTTCTACCTAAATCCTGATCCCCATGCGCAGCCCCCAGCAGCTCGCACCATGGCACAGCCATGCAGCACACAGAGCAGCATGCGAGCTGGGAGCATTAATTATTAAGTCACTTGATTAATTAATGATGCTCCTGCAAGCACAAAGTCCTGCACATTCAAAGTTCTCTTTGGAAAGCTGCGGCATTTATAGGACAACCAGAGGAGGCAGAGCTCGGGATCTGCAAACGGCTTTGGTGCAGAATGACTGCAAAAGCCAGGCACCAAGACGTGAGAGCTGGGTGCAGGAGGATGAACAGGAATGGCTCAGCACACACACCCAGTGCCCTCACCTGCCTCAGTCCCAGGGTGCCCCAGCCAGGGACGTAGGAGAAATGCAGCAAACCCATCTGGCGGGTGCAGAGATGCAGAAAACAAGAGTGCTGCACATGCTCAGCACAGCTGGGCATTCAGGGCTCCTGGAGAGGCTCCATTCCAGGGTGAGAGAGACGTATTTCAGATGCGATAAGCAGCAAAGTCTAGAAGGAGTTTCAGATCTATTTATCCCTCAGGCAAGAGGAGACATCTTCCTTCCATCTCTTTAATATTAAAGACCTGTTTTGGTATGATTTCCACGTCTTAGCCCTCGCAGGCTGCATGTTTAGGAAGCTGCCCGCTTGGCTCTTATCTCCTCTTCTTTGTAGGTTTTGCTCGAGTTGCCAGGAGAGATGCTCGTGGTTTGCAGTCACAAAGCCAGCTCTGTCTGACGGCTGATGGGGAGATTGCAAGCAGGGAGGCAGCGAGGAGCCAGCCAAAGAGCAGCCAAAGCCCACAGTACGTGCCAGTAGGGCAGGCAGGGAATCAGCACCCTGCATATCCGGCATCGGGGAGGGGACCAACACTTTCCCTGCTGCAGAGTTGCCCCATTGCACATCCAAGCAGTGCAGAGAAGCATCCTCGAGTGCTGCTCCATCAGTTCCTCCGGACCGCAGCAAGCTTAGAGCTGAGATTCAAAAAGGATCTGAAATCCCCGGGGGGGGGAGCAGGGGACGCCGACACCACCCAGCCCCTGGGCTTTCCTCCAACCCCAGGAAGGTTCCTACACTCTGACCTTGCAGTTCTCAGCCTGCACACAGAGACAGATGTCACCACATCTTAGCTAGCGAGTTCTTACCACGGAACAAAGCCCAGCGCTCAGGGCAAAACAGCAGCCTGGGTTATGCTTGAGCAAATTTTATAGCTAGCATCCCTAAAATAAAGCAAACGTGCTGTTAGAGAAAGCATCTGCTTTGCTCCCCAGGGCTCTCCATGCCACACACCGAGCTGCCAGGGACAGTTCCTCCCAAAGAAACACTACAGGTTCAGTGCTGGTGTGCAGGTTGGGCATCCCTCGTTGTTCAATCCAACCCTTCTCGTCACTTCTGCCCTTATAATGCAGGGATCCTATGGCACCGTATCCCCAGGGTCCTACATACTCATACATACTTAGGAGCCTTTGGCTCCTAAACTGGGATTCTGTTGCAAATTTGGCTTCTTCGGATGCGAGGGAACCAGAAATACAAAGCCAAGAGAACTGGAACAGCAGATACCCTCCTGAGAATGGCACAGAGAGATTCCCAAAGAGAGATTTCCCCATTATTTAGAGGATAGACGCCGGCCTGAAGAGGAAAAAATAAACATTTCTGCCTCCGAATCCCTGCAGTAAACCCACCTAACCTCCAGCTCCTCTCCCTGAAAACACGGAGACAGCATCGGTACCCCTGTGCCACCGCTCTGCCAACTTCAGCCATCCAACATCACGTGTAGCTGGA